AACGCGAGTTATGCTCGATTTTTTGCCGATTTTTGACACACCATGCCAAAAAGGTTGCCCATCACTGGAATAGTTAGAACCCAGAAAAGAACCCCAAGATATTCTGTTACAGTCTATTATGCTCTGAATGTTATATACCAGCGATGGCGAACCTGTTTTGGCTCGCGTGCCATAAGTGGGGGGAGCGCAGGGGGATCATGTGTGGGCATGCCACACCCATAATGCAATGCACTACGCCCCCCAGTGCACATGCATGCACTACAGGTGTGACCCCCCATTTTTTGCATGCTTTTTTCACCCTCCCCAGGCTCCAGAGGTTTTATAGGAGCCTGGGAAGGGCGAAAACAGTCTCCCCACCCCCACCCGAAAGGTCATTTTGAGCACCCCAAAGGCTTCAGGGGCCTTCAGAAGGCTTTCCTGAAGCCTCCGAAGCAATCAAAACTACCCTCCGAGCAAACCGGAAGTGACTTCCGGTTTGCCCATAGGGCTGGGGGGGGGGTTTGCGCTCTGGACGCTTCAGGGAAGCTTATGAAGCCTCCAGAGGGCCTACGAGGGAGCAGGGGAGGCTCTTTTCACCCTCCCCAGGCTCATATAAAGCCTCTGGAGCCTTTGGAGGGCGAAAAATGGCTTTAAAAAGGGTGAACTAAGGTGGCCAGCACGCACATGCATGCTGGCCAGCTGATAGGGCAGCGCCTCGTGTGCCCTGACAAATGGCTCCACGTGCCATAGGTTCGCCATCCCGGTTATATACTGTAATAAGACTTCCATTAGCAGATTTTCTATCCATCACCAGTCTATCATCATTAAAGTATCAAAGAAAGGAAACCTCAGTGATTGCAACAATTGGAGGGGCATAACATTGCTATCAATCCTTGGAAAGGGAAAAGTTCTATGCCTTGTGTTGCTCAAGAGATTGGAGCATCAAGTGCATGCACATGTATGAGAAGAACAAGCTGCATTCAAGAAAAGATGCTCTGCAACAACCAGTTCCTGACCTTAAGAAATATCATTGAACAGAGTTTAGGATTCCAGAAGCCAATGGTAATTAATTGTATTGACTTCAAAAAGGTGTTTGACTCAATTCATTGAGAATCACTATGGAATATTGTAAAGTTCTATGGTATTCCTCAACATTTTATCAACAGCTTTAAGAACTTGTATTATAACTCCAGATGCTGTGTACAAATGGAATCTGGCAACACAACCTTCTTTAACATCAATACAGGAGTAAGACAGGGATGTTTGTATCACTTGTTTCTCCTCTCTATATACTTGTTATGAATAAAGCAATGGATAACCCTAGCTTTGACATCCTAAGGGCAACAATCCATCTAATAGATTTAGATTTTGCAGATGACATTACACTGTTTAGTGAAACAAAGGGATGCTTGCAAGAAATGACCACTAGTTTAGATAGAGTCCAACTAGATTAGCTAACATATAAATTATGAGAAGAATAAGTTAATGCAAATCAGAAGTGCTCAGAATAATATGCCTATAATAGGCCATGGCCAGTCTATAGAACAAGTCCAACAATTTACTTATCTCTATTGATGAAGGTAGATAAGGATATTAACTCTCAAATTGGAATGGCAGCAGCTGTATTTCAAAGCTTGCACCCGGTTGGTAGACGTCTACGGCAGCCATAAGTATTATCACAAAGTATTATCACTCTTTAAGAGTGTTGCTATACCAACTCCAATATGTTTGTGAAACATGGAAATATACAACCAAGATGATTAAACAGTTAAATGTTTTCCAACAATGCTGTTTGAGAAGAATCCTCCGTGTCTTATATTCTTCTATTATTCCTCCACATAGAAGGAAAAAATAGTATTAGGCACATTCTTCAAGAAGTTTTTATAGATGTAATGTACTGAATAAATAACTTCTCTATCTATCCCAATTCAATAGAACAAAAGTTTGAAAACACTTTTTTATAATATCTGCCTTTTCACCTCATATAGTTGAACATAACTGACAGCCTATAAAATGACAGATTGCCTCTGTTACCTTCCCAGACATGTGTACCTCTTGCCTTCATCTTGACTAAAAGCAGGATGTCCAAGTTTCTCCAGCCTAAGGCTTCTGGGTGAAGAAGGAGGAGAAGTCTCACATTTGATGGTTGTTTTATCTTCTCGACTCTCATCTCGACCAGCTGGTGACTGAACAGATAAGGTAAACTCAGACTTAGACAGGAGATTCCTGTCTAAAAACTTTCCTCCAATCTCTACTACACTTATCAAAAACATGCTAATTAATTAAAGGAGAAGACAGAACAGAATCACATGCAACAAGTATATCCTGGGAATTACTGCTTACTGTATGCCCAACAAGAGGACTGAATGGTCAAGTTATAATTATGAGTGTTATTTGGAATGATATGGTCATAATATGAGGCAATACAGTCAACAGCAACAGGAAGGAGGAGGCATATTGTGACACATTAACAATATGGAGTCTGCAATATGTAGCAATCTGGACAGGAGCTCTGACTTGCCATCATTTAAACAGCAATTCATATGTATTTCTATTTTAGATTTGTATGAATCATATACAAAGTAGTACTCTATGGGCACAAGGATTAGTTTTGAAATAACAATTATTAATACATTTTGTCAGATGGGAGCAGCCAATTTGCTACCTAAGCAAAGGACCTGGGACCCTCTTATCAGGACTGAAAGAAGTACCCTGCAGAAACTGCCTATTCAAAATCGTCTGAAGCACAGTTTAAGGAGTACTGCTTACGCAACTGAAAATAATAGAAAAGTCATTCCAAAAAAATGGAAGATATATTAATATACCACACTGTTTTACAAGAAGTTGGTCTTGAACAAAGCCACTGTTACTGCCTCATAAAAATATGTTCACAATTCTCACTCATAGAAATTTCTGAACTATCACTGGCAAATCAGCAAAGAAACCAATTCAGCATATCTCAGAACACAAACCATTATTCTTAAAATAAACATAGTTTGACACTGCAAATCAAGTTATTTAAGCATCCAGGAACAAAGAGCAGAGGCCTTTCTATAAGAGAAATAAATTATAAACCCCTAGCAGAGAAAAACTACTTCTAAAATAGGAATTGGCCACAAACCTATTTATTCTGAGCATAGAATCATAAGGCATTCTAGTTGAATGTAAAGTTGCATAAAATGGAGAGGCAGGTGAAAGCATGCCAGAAATAGCAGGAATATGGCAAGAACAGGATTCCTAAAGGGAAATCTGGATTAAATATCAAACCTCAAGGCCCAATTTAAATAAGCAGAAACACAATGAAGAGAAACCTAGTTTGCAACTTCATCACCTCTCACGAAAGATGTCCTCTATTTACAGCCTAAGACTTGCAATATTGTCTAATCTGTTTATGGGATGTGACATAGTTATGGGAAATTAGCACTGTGTGCTTTTTATTGTCCACCTATTCTTTGCCCTACAGAATCTTATCATTTAAATATTTTAATATCTAAATATACTTACTTTAAAGTTTCGTGTGTAATTTACTTTTTTAACACACTTCCTACTGTATTACATAGTTAGATGCATCTTGAATGTCTGCATTTGAGACTTTTGGATTTCAAAGTTTACCTATTAACTTGTTTAATATGTACCCTGCCTTTCTATGCCAGCAAATACTCAAGATGACTTTACTGGAAACATACATGAAGAAATCAGATACATACATTTATTCACACTGATAGGAGATGCACTCTTGGAAAAAGTGTGATATTGTAAACATTCTAACAATTTACAAATAAGCACAGGTACATGTGCTTATGGATTCTATATAAATTGATATAAGTACTAATTATATGAATCCTTTATATATAAATAACTACTACTTACAACCTTCAAGCAGCAATCTGTTATGAACTAAATGGCTTGAAGCGAACTCATGATCTCTCAGCAACAAAACTTAATTTTGAAAAGATTACTGCAATACTTATAGCTCTATATTTATGGTAGACCATTTATATTTACATGTGAAAGGAAGAAAAACCCCTATAGGACTAGAGCTAAACAGTATGGTAACATTTTATCTGCATCTGAGAATGACACATTTTCAAATAATAGCCAGAGTAAATATTGCTTTACTCTTTAAAATATTTTCATCATAACTTTATTGTTCGCAAGACTACAATTGCAATGTTGTAACTTAGACTGTGTTTGTTTAAGATGACAAAATACAGTTACAGAAAAGGAGCAAGAATATAAATTTACAAAGAAGAGCAAAGAAATGGACAGACTCACAAGTAGTTTCCTTCGGTGTTTCCTCAAATCACTTGGCTGTCAAGAGATTGACATAAAAACAGTGGAAGTTAGCTCAAAGTTACCCTAGGGAGCAGATGGCATACTGTTCAATACAACTGGGACTAGAGAAACTGAGCAACAGCCACGGTGGAGGACTTGTCAAGAGAAAAAAAATGTGGCATTGTAATATTAGACTAAATAGCTTTAGATATTAAATAAAAACGAAATAGAAATGCTAAAGACCACAGTGGTTTGGTAATACAGCTGACCATTACAGGACATAACGGCAGCATTATAAAGAACATAGCATACCATCAAAAATCCCACTTCCCAGCAGAACACACTTTTATTATTTATTTATTTTTGAACTCTTACCAGGGTCATACTGCATATCCGATCAAGGTCCTGAGCTGTGCTGCGAGAGGTGAGTTTTGGAGTAGAACGTCCACTGACAGGAGGAGATGAGCTTGCCAGAGACAGGGCAGTTAAAGATGTGGGGATGGATGCTCTCTTGCGTAACTGTGTCAGATTTAGGGCTTCCATGCTACCACTGGTGACACGGCTCTCTAACTGTTCAGCCCGCAGCTCAGTTGATTCTTTCTCCTCCTGGATCATTCTAGACCAGATCATAATTTAATGTCAGCTGAGATTTTACTATTTTTCATAAGGAGGTACAGGTAGAAGCATTCAAGATTTCTATGTTAAACACAACTCTAGTTCACAGAGCAATTTGGTATACCATGCTTATGTATTATACCAAAAGAAACTGGAACCATCTAAGTAGTTAGGTAGGCTTACTTGGGTTTATTCAAACAAACACAAGAGCTATTTTTTAAAATAATATTTTGAAATATTTATCCATACAACCTAGAACTGTTCTGATGCATTCCTTAATTATAGTCCACATTTTCAATGTTCTCATAATGCTAGAAAAGTCAACTTTTTTTAAAAAATAGCTTAAAATTGTGATGTGGTCAAATGACTCCATATATTGATTCTCCTTGTATTTTAATCTATGGTTGTATTTTATTTCCTGCAAAATCATTAGTATAACTTTTTTACTACATTAATGTAGTGTAATTTCCATTACAAAATTAAGACAGTCATATGATTTGTTTCCTGTATGTCATTGCAAACATTAGGCAAACCCTTGTTAAATCAGATTTGTCATTAGTTTAAAAAAAAAACCTCTTGCAGGCAGAAGATCCGAAAAATGTTCGTGATGGACTTTCAACTATGAGATTGAGGTGGTGACAGAAATACTGTAAAATTGCTCATTAATTTCTACCTGACTTGGTAGTAGATTCATCTGGGATAAGATATATTTGGTATCATGTTGTTCACCTTATTTATTCATTTATTGTTTTTATGCTTTTAATTCTATACTCCCCAAAGATGCATGACTATTAACAATTAAAACTAACATTCATTCATGAAACAATCAGTAATTGTGGAGTAGCCTCCATCACACTCTAAATGTCCCCTTGGAACAACCCATGAGTCTGTGGTAACTGAACTAAGAACTCATCCAGACAACCATTTAATTTATTTGATTTGGTATCATCAAACTCTATCACCTCATAACATAAGAAAGAAAAGAAAAGAAAATACAATTCAAAAACACCATCAGCAAACAACAGCAACAAATAAATAAAAGCAAAGATAACATAAGATGGTAAACCCAGCAAAGAACAGAACCCAGGTAGCCGGAGTGAGTTCTGTTGTTGTCATCTGGATTTATCGTTTTGTCCAAGACCAGATTTTCAAGGCCCTCCAAAATGCTGTTTGAATGGGAGCCACCCAGAATGCATTTAATATTTCTTTCTACTACCTACTCATGTTTAATATGCTTTCTTCCGATTTCTGGAGTGGCAAAAAAGTATGCCAGCCCAATTAACTTTTTTCCAAGAGCCAGTCTCTCTTTTCCTTTATAATTATGCTGGTAAGCAATGCTGCCTTTACAGGTTTAATATGGAACCAGACACTTCCTCCCCCACCAAAGTTTCTGTTCCACCTGTTGAACAGGGAAAGCAACCATCAATCAGTCTCTTCAACACTGTGATGCAATAGAATTGGGTCAAAGGAACCCGCCAAGAAAAGACCATGACCTCTTCTTTCACTCAAAACTATTATAACAATGAAGACAGTTTAATGGTTATATTTAAAACAAAGTAAACATTCTGCACCATCCTTCAAGTTGCCTAAATAATAGGTGCCCAACAGAAAGATGCTCTGAAACAACAGGTTGTTATCTGGGCTAGATCTAAACACCTGTCTAGCCCTGTTCTGGGAGAGTGATGTGTGTAAGTGTATGTATATGTGCATATGCATGTCAAAGAACCACAAGAAACCAGCTGACGAGTCAATGGTGAAAAACGGCAGAATGGAACACATAAATATTCTTAACTGAAACCTGTTCTGTTGCACTCATAACAACATATCCTTTTCTTACAGTTAGCTGTGAAGATCACTGTACAACACTTCTAATACACTCAAATACACACACATACTCTTACATATATTTTCACCCAAGTACTCAATATGTTTTTGAGCAGGTCTAGCACTATTTTACAAGAATGGTGAATACAGGAAGTCATGTAGGATCTGATTTGCATTTCGGAAAGTACCAGCCAAGCATTGCCTATGGAAACCGGTTGTCATGTCTTCCAAGTTACACAAACCAACTAGCATGGAGGGTGATGCTCAGCAAGCATGCAGGATAGCATACATACCTGCAGCTAAAAGCATTTAATAGGAGCTGGGGATATCTTAGTTCCTGGCTAAGCATCACCACAACTATTGCCAATATGCCTGTATAATGAGGCCTGCTACCAAATACACACACCACTTAAGATTGGACTTCCAGGTTCTTCTAAATGGCAACCTCTCAACCTTCTCTGACAATCTATTGTACTCTTACACACCCCTGATGACAGCTTTTCACTTTATTGACACTAATCATTTTTTCCCCAAAGAAATCTCTCTGGTGCTGAATTACTTGGGAATAGGTGAAATGGAGACCACCTTTCTGCCTGCCTTCCTTTCTTCCTCCCTCCCTCCCTCCCTCCCTCTCCTCCCTTCCCTCCCTCCTGCCTGCCTTCCTTTCTTCCTCCCTCCCTCCCTCCCTCCCTTTTCACAGCTTAAGCAAAAAGAAGACATATGCTTTTGAGAATGAGTGTGTTGGTTCAGAAAAAATGTGTTGCAGGATGCATGGCTGTCTCCGAGCAGGAATACATAATGTACATAGATAGATATGAACATACACAGGACAAATTAGCAAAGTACAGCAACAACACACGCCTCAAATGATTTTTCATAAAATACCTCCTTTTGGTCTGTTCCTTCAGCAACATTTTTTGAGCAATGAAAGAAACTAAAATTACACACTTAATACTCTTCATATATTACAGAAAGTATAGATTGTGTAACCCAGACCGAGATCTTCGGAGAGATGATATTAGAGATAAATAAATGTGCTATTTCTGGGGGCCAGTCCAATCAAACTGCTTATATATTTTCTCTCAAACATTTCATTACCACTCACAGAATTCCTTATCATCTACATGTAAATGTTTGGAATATCAATCCAGACAATGTTTTCCTAATTTATTTATTGGAGACAAATCTGACACTTTTATGTCTAATCCTTGAACACATACAAAATCAACTAAAATACACAGAATATATACACCAAATGGAGATACCTAATCTCCTCATTGATGGCATCCAGTTGTTCCTGCAGCATCATGGCAAGGGTCTGGGCATCAGAATGACCACTGGGAGACAACATGTCCATAGAGCTGAAAACTGTCTCTTGGTCATCCTCATCAACATCAGAAATCTCTGGGTCGCTATCAAAAGCGTGAGCTGAAGTACTCAGGATGCCACTTGTTTGACCATGCTCCCAATCCTGGACACAAAAGAAAAATCACAAGGTATCCCACATAAGGTATCATTCCCACATAATTGCAATACCAATTTCACCATCTTGCTGAAATATCTGTTTGAGATGCCAAATTGTTATGTATGCAATTTAAATGATTCCAGTGTTTCAGCTAAGCAAACAAGAAAATTCTGCTGAGGACAGAAGATAGGTTTAGTTCTTTGAGAATCTCCTGCGTTTGAAAGGATGCATAACATACAGTGCAGGCCTTTATCTTGTTGCCAAGCAAAAGAGTAAACCTGTGCCAGAGATGTGATTTCCACATTACTCATTCCCTCCCTAGCTTTATGAACTTGGTTTGACTGCTCGTTAATCATTTTTGCCTCCAAAGTTGTGGGTGTTCTAAAACTGACGGTTTTTAAGAAGGGGCTGGATCACAATTTGTCTGAAATGGCATAGAATTTCCTGCTTGAGCAGGGATTGGACTAGAAGACCTCCAAGGTCCCTTCCATCTCAGTTATTCTGTTAAAGAATGGTCACGTACAAAACACAAAGCTAGGTAAGAAAGAAAAGGGGAGATTGATAGTTCTTCAATACTTCAGATATTTGAGTACAGGTTGGGTCACAGAGTCTGGCTTAGTAAAACAGCTGCATTCTACTCTTATTAAGGTAAAGGTTCCCCTTGCACATATGTGCTAGTCATTCCCAACTCTAGGGGGAAGTTCTCATCTCCGTTTTAAAGCTGAAGAGCCAGTGCTGTCCGAAGGCGTCTCCATAGTCATGTGGCTGGCATCACTAAACGTCGAAGGTGCACAGAACACTGTTACCTTCCCATCAAAGGTGGCCCCTATTTTTCTACTTGCATTTTTACATGCTTTCGAACTGCTAGGTTGGCAGAAGTTGGGACAAGTAATGGGAGCTCACTTGGTTACGCGGCGCTAGGGATTCAAACTGCCAAACTGCCAACTTTGCTGATCAAAAAGCTCAGCATCTTAGCCACTGAGCCACCACATCCCTTATTCTACTCATAATAATAATAAGCTGGCTATATTGTGCAAAAATAATTTTAGTGTTTTAAGTCAACAGCCCCCACCTTTTGGGCACCAGGGATTGGTTCTGTGGAGAGAGGTTTTTACATGGACTAGAGAGAGTATGATTTCGCATGCTTCGCTGTTTGCAATCAGTTTGGTCAGTTTCTGATATGCCATGGACCAATGCCAGTTCACGGACCAGAGTGTGGGGAAATAAAACTTAAAATAGCAGAAAACAGTATTTCTAATGCTACAGATATACAAACAGAAAAACAATAGTGCTCAGCAATTTGGACAAGAAAATATTGAATCAGCAAATTAGCAAGCAGATTATTCTGATTTTCATCTGATTAAACCAAGAATCTCAGTTCTTAAAATAATGAGTTTGGATTCTGGGTGAGCAATTTCATCCATTCCATATGTTCCAGATTGCTTATCTTACAAGCTGAGATGCTAGAGACCATACCATGGCTGACAGTGGACTTAAGGTTCTCCAGACTTATGGCTGGAAGGACTTCAATCTGCCATTCCTGGGTTTGGCCTCAAAAGCAGCTTAGGAATTTATGACCATTATGGAGGCTATCAGCTTATCCCAGATCATTTCAGATCTGACTCCGGACAGTGGTTACAAACCAGATGTGATCTTTTTGGAGCAATGGCAACACAATCTGGTGAGATCACATTGGCATTGCTCCAAAAAGATCAAACCTAATATTATCCCTCCTATCATGGTCATATCACGCCCTGATGTCCTTGAGATTTTTTATGCTGCCCTCTCCGCAGGGAGGTCAGGTCCATTTGAGAGGTTCACCTCCATAAACTGATGGACTCGATTGAGTCTCAGAGGGTATTGTGAGATATCTCAGAGACTTCGGCAGTCCTGCTGAAGCCCTGGTAACATCCTGGAATCAAAGGGCAGTTAGGGAACTGGACAAGATTGCGCCTCTCCAGATCCATCACACCCGATTTTCCACATTGTTCACAGGGGAGTGGCAAGTTCTAGAAGGGGTTAAGAGATGCCAGCACATCACTGCAGAAAAATGAAGGATCACTTTGACTAGACACAGCTTGTAGCTGTTATTATAGCCTACCTCATGACAATAAGAATGCTATATGGGGTTAACCTTGAAGAGCATTCAGAAGCTACAACTGGCATCATGGGCAGTCTTTGGGTCCCTGCAGTATCCATGTTTCACCACACTTGCACAAGCTGCACTGGTTGTCAATTTGCTTCCAGGAGCAATTCGAGGTTTGTGTGATCACCTTTAAAGCTTTGCATGGCATGGGATCCATGTTACCTGAGGAACTATCTCACCCCAATAGGACTGGCCTGTCCCACCAGTACTGGCAGAGGAGGGATGCTGTAAATCCCCTTGGTCAAGGAATTTCAGCTGGTGAGTTCCAGGAGAAGAGACTTCTCTGCCATGCCTCCTGCATTCTGGAACATTTTGCTCCCCAGGGTGAGATCTGCTCCCACCCTCCTGACCTGAAGACCTGGCTCTGCCAGTTGGCTTGGGGCCTCAATGGAGGAGTATCATGCTGAAGGTAGTTGGTGGACCATCTCCTCCCCCATACATTCTGGGCTCTCCCTTCCTACTTTTAATAATAATATGTGTTATTAGAAATATCTATGTTTTCATGGTTTATTGCTTTTAATGTTGTAAACCACTCTTGCCTGTGGCTAGATATGTGACAAATAAAATTAATAATAAATAAATCTCTTACAATATGCTTTATAGGCTGGAAATGATTCAAGTTGATACTCAAAAACCTGGGTGGATACAGTAATTTTCTTCTAGATATTTCAATCAGGTTCATAGTAGAGTGATTGTGGAGGAGTATGGAGGTGGCCTTGAAGAAGGAATTCAAACCTTTAGGTAAACATCAGCTTAGCCTGGGTAGATGGAAGAGAGTAGCAACAAACTCAGAATTTCCCTTGCCTTGATTCTCTTTAGTGTAAGAGAAGCGAGCGAAAACCTCTGTCAGGCTTTCAAGATTCTTTTATTATACCCTATAACAATATTAATTCAGTAATAATGTAATTATTACAGTAATTCATGTGGCATTTATTTCTTGACCTAGTATATCTCAAAGAGCAGGTTGTGATCCTTTATTAGCTTACAGGAGTCTGGTTTTATATGGGTGTTGCAGGCCCTTTATAGAATTTTAATATTTATATTAGAATTTAAGAAATTTATTGCCCTTTATTCTGCAGCTGATCGACACTTTCAACTCTCAAGATTAATGGGAAGCAGTTTGGAAACATACTTACTGGATTTATGTATGTATGTGCTGGGTTTTTTGAGTTTCATGAAAAGTATTTTCTTAAGAAAAAGAATTGTTAATACATTTGCTATGATGCTGAGTACGTTGGACTGAGGAATGACTTCATTACATGATTAAAAAATAGGAAGAAACAATGTAATAAACTTCAAAACTGTAGTTTCAAAGAAGCGCACTGAAAAGATATCTATTTGTTTCAATATATAATTTTACCCAAAGTAAGTAATACTTATTTGAGCAGTTCACTGATCCCCGAAAAACATTTAAAATATATACTACATGGCTAGCTTAAATCTCCAATGAAGCTGATGAAAATAATTACAAAATAAAGCATAAGAAAATAAATAGCAACACCGCATCCCAACCAAGTATTGAAATACAAAAGCTAAGAACTCTTTCTTTGTTTCCCAGATTTCACAGGATTGCAAAGATCCTTTGAAATTTCATCTTACCACCTTCTTCTGTATAAGCCCATCCCATAAGTACTGCCCTGGCCACCATCCAGTGAAGTAGCCTTTCTGCACAACAGGGAGTCTCTTTCCTTTAGAAAGGTTTAGGTTTGCAGCTGTCACTGCCAAGCGAAAGGCCATTGTGCCCCCCCCCAATTTTAAAAGCACAAGACAGCTGTTGCAGCTGTTGCCAATACAAATATTTTATGGTGGACGCCAAGATGCAGGCGTAACTGGAGCTGCGCCCTAGAGATTTGTTTGCAGCAAGGCAAACATCAGGAGTTTTACCTTGGAGGATTCTTCCTGCAGGGCTACAAAACGGCTCTTTGGTGCCCGATGAAGACTAGAAGGTGTTGCAAAGGGGTCCGTGGATGGATGGACCATAGTACTCAGGGGATATCTGAGATCAGGAGTACTTCCAACAAGGGACCTATTCAAAATTAAAATGGAAAAAAAATATTTACTTTAAAAAAATAATGGAAGTCATATTGCTTAAAGTTTAGCTTTCTATAGAGAAATCCTGAATTTAAATGCATCCAATATGGTTTTTCTTTTCTTGTATCAATATCCTAAAATACAGACATATTTGCCAGAGATTATGCATTGAAAATCACAGGATAGGACAGATTTCTTATTTTTTCTGGTTGATGAGGAAATGTGCGGCTAATAAACATTTCAAGAGCAGTTGTAACTATGCTGTTGATATTCTTACACAAAGATTGCCATGATGAGTGTGTCCAATCACAACCCCACCTTCATACCAAAGGGCAATAAAGAAGCAGACTATTTCATTATCTATGAATCTTCTGTTTTTATTCAGAACAGCATTGATTGGGTCTTTCAGGCCGTAGTTAGTCATTTCCAGGATGCTACCTAGCGGAGTACTGAAAAACATCTGCAAGCAAACAACAAAGCTCTGGAAGCACCAAGAACTCCACAATAAATTTCTTGAAACAGTAAAAAAACTTCTGGGAGCTAGTAGACCATCTTTGTATACCACATCCAGTAGAAAAAATGAAATTTTCAGTGTTGAACTTTTGAAAATTGAACTTTTCCTAGAACATTCTGTCCTGAGGAGGTAACTTTTATCTCAACTTTATGTGTAGATCAAGGGTTCTTTTTTAAAATAAAGATTATACTTAAGACTACCACTTTGCCTTGCAGTATCCCAGCTTCCCATTGGATAATTTTTTAATCAAAAGACTTATTTAAAATAAAATAAGGTAGGGCAGGATGCTGGGCAAATACTGAGGAAAATGTCAGCAGATGTGTCCTTTGTTTCCCCAAGGCCCTATCAAAGACTAAGGCAATTTAAATCAAAACTTTCTAAGAAACAACCAAAACACATTTATAAGCAAATAAGCATCCTTTATAGAAAAATGTAGTTTACATTATCATAATCTAGATATATTGAACCTAGACTTAGATGATGGGGCTATCTCTAAGATTCCAAGTCCTAGAACAAAAATATAGTCAAGGTGGCTCAGAAAAATAAATAAATAAATATAAGAATAAATTTAAGTAGCTGGTGGAATAGAGTACTGCTAAATATCAGTAAAGGAATACTTGTTCTCTGAAGATCAAGACCTGTTTCAGGAATACTTTCTCATCTCCAGGGAACAGAGGCACAATTGTTTCTCTCTCCCCTTCTTTCCTTCCTTCCTTCCTTCCTCCCTCCCTCCATTTTTATGTTAACATTTTATTTAACAACAATACAGTATGTAATGTACAGTATGTAGAATTACACTTATTTCCTTCTTGTAAGAAGCTATGTGAAAGTGCTCAACACTTGCTTTATTTTTTACTCTTATTATTAATCCTTTTATTTTATTTAAAACAGGGGTATTTTCAAAAAAGATATTACCCGTGAAGACACAAATAACTATTTGGGTTAAACAATTACTGCTCAATTAAGCATTAGTAAAAGATACCAAGCAGACTGTGTTAAATTGGTTTCATGATGTAAAAAGTATATAGATAAGTATTTAATTTCTGATTTCCCCTTTCTATGAGTCCAGTCAATTTTGCAATACCTGATCGCTTAGGCTTTAGAATTCATGTCTAGAAACTCAAGCTAATTTGGATAAGATAAATAGAAAAGAATTGAAGAAATTTCCAGAGGTTAACTATTTCTCATAAATTAAGCTTTGTAAACAACAGTTGTCTATGTTAACAGTAAAAGAAATGAAAATGAATTATGTAAAGTAAAAAAAATGAATTTACAAATAAATCAAGAAATGGCTGAAATACAAATTATGAAAAATACAAGAGGGGAAATCTGTATGAATGGATAATGCAATCAGACAAAATTTCATCAATACTGTTCCAATTTTTATAAAAGAAGTGACATCTCTCTAGAGAAAATAGATGAATACCTAAAAGAATCAAAATTTACTGAGGATTATACAGAAACAGAGTCAGGTTTTTGAATGGACTTATAACAGTAAAGGAAATTTCTAAAGCTTAAAACAAATTAAACCAGTAAGAATACCTAGACCAGGGGGATTATCGGGTTTTATTATACATGATTTGAGGATTTTATAACCTTTACAAAACACGCTAAACTCTACATTGCAGGAGGAAAGATGCTGGAGAGTTAGAAAGAGGTCAACAGTAGAACTAATATTTAAAGAGGGATAGTTTTGACTTGAATCAGAAACTATAGGCTGATATTATTAAGACTGAAAACAAATTTGCAAGAATTTATGCATGAGGATGAATGGAGGTTTTATCTAAAAGACAGTTAAGGGACAATGTTTAGAAATGCATTGAGCATTTTGGAATATTTAGAGCAACATAATGAAAAACAAGCCACCTTGACTTTCTTAGGTGTAGAGAAGGCATTTGATTATTTGAACTGGCTTTCATGTTGAATATTTTGGAAGATATTAATTTTGAACATTATAAAATGAGTAAAATAAATTTACACTTCACAGAAAGTACAAATAATTGTTAACGGAGATATAACAAAACCATGTGAGATACTAAAAGGAATAAAATAAGGTTGCACACTGTCTCCTCTCTCCTATTTTGGTACTGAAATATTGAATAGAGATATAACACAAGATGAGAAGATTGTGGGTGTAAAGATTTTAAAAGACACTTATAAATAAGAGTTTTGTCAGATGACTTGGTTTTTGGTTTTGGAAGATGCTTTAGAGGGAATTGAAACATTAATAGACTATTTTTAAAAATGCTACATTAGCAAGTTTCAAGATTGATAAACAGAAGATAAATATATTAACAAATAGAAGAGCAAATAGAAATGTTGAATAAAATAGGTTTTAAAATTAAGAAGATAAAATGTCTAAGTATCACTATGACAAATATGAACTGTAAGATTTCAAAATAACCATGCTATATTTATGTGCGGGACATGACTTAAATATAAGGTGTTACAAAATGCAAAGGAAAGGAAGCTTGAATCTACCTGATTTTAAATTATATTTTGCAGCTAGCTGTTTAGTTTGGATAAAAGAATGGTTATTGCTGAGAAAACAAAGGCTCTTGGAGTTAAAAGGACACAACCTAACATTTGGGTTGCATGAGTGTTTGTGGTATGATGAAGTCCAGGTTAATTTAGATTTTAAAAATGATTATGTTAGGCATTCCCAATGGAGAATATGGAATAGATACAAAACCAGATTGTGCCAGAACACATCTCTATGGATCTCAGCACAAGATTCATTTTATAGATGAGAAATAATAGGGAAAGAGAAATCATGAGGTAATAGAATTTTATCAAGGGTAATGTACTGTAAATAAACTCAAGGGGAGGACTAGTGGCAGTGAGATATAGTAGTTAATGTTTTTTTTCCCTATTTATTTGTCATATTTTAAAACTCCTACCAAAATGGAACAAATTCAATTAATTAGGGCAATTAATTGAATTACCAGCTTGATTAATATAATAAAGAAAGAGCATTACACAGGCCTCTAGAGGAAGCATATTTTAGAGTGTGGGGGCCACTAGCAAGAAGGCCTGGTACCTACTTCCTATGTACGAGGAGGGAGAGAAGGAGAGGGAGAGGGAGGGAGAGGGGGGAGAGACAAATCTAATGGTATGTAAATGTAATAAATAAATATACAAATGTAACAGGAATGTAACATGTAAGTTCTTCGTGGTAAAAGTGGGTATAAAAAATAAAATAATCAGATTTAAAGAATTTGTACCTGAATATCAAAAGAAATTAAGAAATATCTTGAGTATTAAATAATAAACAGCCACTGATGATACTTAAAATTCAACCCAGGCCTAGAAAATCCATGAAGTGTGCCAAAGGATTTCAGTGGTTTAAAAACATAGTTGAAATGTACTGTCTAAAAATGATGTTCATTTTTAAATAATGTATAGATACATGTTTAAAATTAACAATTCCCATGATACAACTGGAGACCTCAGTTCTCTTTTAAACGTTTATCTGTTGAGCTTGTCATATGCCACATTAAGCTCCCTCCCAGGCCAGCAACCTCTCTGTCATCACAAGGCATATTTCTGAGAGCCTCATTTCATTCTGGAGAGAATAAAATCAAAAGGAAAAGCAACAGCTGTGATCTCTATTGGATACAAGACTTTTCAGCCCTACCAACTGGCTTCTTCTTACACATGACTTCCAACTTCGTGCTCTGCCAATACCTGACAAGGAACCTTTGACAACATCTGATAGATAGTAAGTCTCATCACATGAAACACAACAATATTTTTTTTAATGTTCTACTTTATTTTGCATCACATACAGGTTTTGTTACATTACTACAAGCAAAATATGACACCTCAGTGCTGAACAGTTGGGGGCTTGTGAGGATGTGTTGAAAACAGGAATGCTAAATGCGCAGTTTGCTCAGCATGAAATGGATAAACACCAAAACTGAGAGTGCTTTTTATGTTTTTATTTCAATTTTATAATGTTTGTATAGTTATTAAAATAACTGTAGACAAGTCTCCGAGACAATCAGTTGAAGTTAGAAAATTTGGTAACTACTATTCAAATAACTGTTGGATATGGGACATTTAAAAATATTCATTCATTTCTATGTTAAATATGTTTTAAAAAGACATCCTGTCTTTTTTGCTGTCCTTGCTACAAAACCTATTTATTTGTAACTGTGGCTCTTCATAGGATCATCCATCCATCCACTGATATGAGATCTGAATCTACACAAAAGCCTACTAGAATATTCTCCAGGTTAGATTTTTGATGGAAGTCTTTTTCATTGTGCATATCTAACTACAGGATTCCCACTGTTTTTTCAATTTCCCCAAGGCAAACTCAACAGTTCTAGAAACAAAGCAGTTACTACAATAAGCATCTATATGGACAAAGTCGAAAAGGTTATGTGTACGCAAAATGGCAAGTCAAAGAACACAATCACAGGTGAGCAATCATTTTTTTCACCATGCATTCTGTGCAACACATATAGAAGAGAGTATGACATGTACCTTACACAGTGTGCAGTACTTCAGGTAAGGTTAAAGACAGCACAATTCTGGCAATTTGCTTATGCTTGGACATCCATCTATAATACAGGTAAGTCCTGTCCTCGACTTACAACAATTAAGCCAAAGTTTCTGTTGCTAATTGAGACATTTGTTAAGTGAATGTTGCTCCATTTTATGACCTTTCTTGCCACGGTAGTTAAGTGAAACACTGCAGTTGTTAAATTAGTAATATGTTTTTTTCAGTGAATCTGGCTTTCCCATAGACTTTGCTTGTCAGAAAGGTGACCCCAGTGATATTGCAACTGTCATAACTCTGAGTCAGTTGCCAAGTATCTGAATCACATGATCATGGGGATGCCGCAATGGTCATAAGTGTGACAAACAGTCATAATCACATTTTTTCAGTGCCATTGTAACTTTGGATGTTCACAAAATGAACTGTCGTAAGTCAAAGACTGTGTGTATTGTGAAGCTGACCATTAATCAGAGGACATGGCTGCTCTGAACAGGTCTGGGGGTAGTCATTCTTTAGAACAGTAATGTAGAAGTTGAATATGCTTCTATGAAATGTGAAACAGATTAATGGGTAAAATCCTTATAATCTGTTTCACATGTAATTTGCATCTGCACAGCCAACCCATTTGCCCTCCCTCCCCATGGCAGCAAAACAGTTAGATTCCTCTAATGGCATTAATACTACAAGTTCTTCAGCTACAGGGTTTTTAGAATTGAGAGGCCTTGAGACCATACAAAGCAATTCCAACTGTAGCTGTGTGGTAGAACATTACCATATTGATTATGGGTGGCTCTTTTTGGTCTGATAAAAATTGAAGTTGAGAGTTCTGAGATCATAGGAGTGGGTTCCAGTTTGAACAATCCCGATCCACAAACCTTAATGTGAAAGGGGGGGAGGGAGAAGGAAGCAATGACCAGCCCAGTGTCAGATCAGAACAAAAAAAGAGACTGGATGTTAATATTAAATTGCAGGTATCTGTTGGGAGTAGCTATTAGAAAGGGCTATGGGAGTGCTTCTACCGGTGCAGTGTAATTTACTCCCTCACTCATTCTGGTAGGTTTTTTGCACAGATGGAGGCTCCATATAGGGAATGTGATACACAGAGACCAAAATAAACCAAAAATAAGCCAAAAGTATAGAACCAAAAATAATTACTAACTGGGAAGATTAGAAGAGAAGATCAATTCCTATTTTCAAAACTACATATGTGCTACTCCCTAATAAACTATCCAACCAAGGGACAGCTTAATTGGGAGATATCTGTCTCCCTTTTCCTCCAATTAGAAACAAGGGGGGGGGGAGTCAATGTTACTTAAACCAGGAATTAATCAGACAAAAAGCTTAGACAAAAATAATATTCTTTAGACCACAGTGACTAAACATACACAGCTGTATTTCATACATTTTGCTATGAAACAAATAGCAAGCTTACAAAAATGTTGTACATTTTCTTTTTCAATTAAGCACAATTTTTCTCAGGCAGAGTGTCTCATAATTTACTGTCTCTACAACAAATGAATTGGAATCTGATTTGGTAAGGTAGCATCAACAATGATTAAAGCAATCCAGCTACAAAGTGAAAATGTACATACAATAGTTGACAATCAAGATAATAATTTCAATTAATTTTATTACACTGAAACAATATTCTCAAATGAATTATAAATGGCATGAGAAAAAGAGTTCAGTACACTATACAGAGATAATTCCTATTTGCAAACAAAGCAATCGCATTTTATGTGTTTGGCTGCTTTACTTAATTGGTTGGCATGTTATATAAATGCACCCTCTACTGGATCCCAAAATTACAGCAACTATCCAGATTTTAAGATAAGAATAAAATTTCTCTGAGTAAAGATCCCAATATAATGACTTCATGGAAAAATTAATCATTCAATTTATTTTTATTTAAAATATGCAAAAAGTTCCCCCTTCTTTCTTGTAGGATTTATTTTAAAATAACCAGTCTAGTCACTATCCTTGCAATTTCCTGGTGATCTTCCTGTTAAGATATAATGACACCCAGTTCTGCATAGCTAGCTGACAAGCCACTTTCAGCTTCTTTTAAATTTTATTAGACTTATTTTGCAACCTGACAATGCAGAAGAATGAAAAACACCCTCCTGGAACATATGGCAAGATGTAAAGTCATTATTGTAAATCTACTTTAAGAGTCGAACATCTCTTGCCCAAAAGAGCCTCCAGAAATTGTGAATGCTCCAACACTGGAAGTTTTTAACAAGATGTTGGATAACAGTTTGTCTGAAGTGGTGTAGGGTTTCCTGCCTAGGCAAGGGGTTGGACTAGAAGACCTCCAAAGTGCCTTCCAACTCTGTGGTCCATTCTAAAGAGATCTTTTTGTACTTTTGTGACTCTTGATGTTATCAAACTCTACTGACACCACCCATCTTGTCAAGTATTATTATAAAGGATAGATGCTAAATATATTTGTTGTTAATATACAAGTTACTTCATAATTTAGTAAAAGTTTCACAGCGTTTTCAAATCTCAAAGTCTGGCTCCTAAATTAGTGGCATCTATAATATTCCCACTAGTAATCAGCTCTGATCAGGTTTACAAAATAATTTAATTGAATTTTTAAAAGAAACTATTTTTCTTATCTGATAATCAGGATAACATATCCTTCTCCCAGCTTGAATGGAATGGTATCTTAAACCAAATCAAACTCCAATTCATAAGAACTTTTCCTTTAGGGTTTCAGGCAAGAGCCTCTTCCAGATGCCAGCAGTCAGTCTGAGTTGCAAACAGTACATGTTGTCATTGAAAAAAAAATAGCACTATTCTACCAGTAAATGAATCATCATGAGGTTGATCTCCTTGTTGTGTTCCAAAGAGTTTGAGAGGTGCTTAAGAGGAGATGACTAGCTTACTGGCATTGTGTCCTTTGATGTGTTGTCCCTGAACCCAATCCTTCCCTCTGCCCATAATAATTATTTTGGGAAAAGTGAGCTTTTCTTCCCACCTTGAAACAGAAAAGTACACAAAGAAGTAAAACTATGAATTATTCCTTTGTTCTCTCAAGTATGCAAGATGCTAGCCATGATTTTAAAAAAAAACTTATGAATTCAGAACTTAATAATGAAATCCAAAAGTACAAGAGACTATTATAAAATGCATGTTGCTATGAAGTAACCGTTGAATAAGTGGAAAATATGAATTTGAACTGCCTTTATATAAAGACAATTTGTGACTCAAATTGAATCCAGGTAGCCTTTTTTACTTCTGAGACATAAAAATTATACAGTATTTATCACAATAATATTGGATTTAATAAAGGGGAATAGTCTTTATTAGATAACAAGGTGGTTTTTTTTTCCAAGTTTGAATGAACACAGTTTTCCCAGCAGTGGGGAAAACTCAAAAAGGTGCAAGAAACTGGCTACGGATAGGTTTTTCAGGAGACTTAATTATTATTCTGGAAAGAATCGTAGATAAAGGTGTTCCTCACAGAAGTATTAATTTCTGAAAGTGTTCATAAAACAAAAAACAAATGACTGTCCTCGTGATGATGTACATACCTGGTATGTACACTGTCAAGTAAAGGTCCACTTCTTGCCTTTAACTGGTCGATTTCTAGCCTCAACCTGTCAATTTCATCAGACAGCCTCCTCTGTTCAGAATAAAAGAAGAAATTGTTCCTCTACAATATCTAGGCAATTATAACTTTCAAAATGAATGCATTTGTGACATTAAAATGCATACAAGCAAATAACAATGAAACAAAGCAGGAAATAGAAAAATAGTACAAAGAGACAGAAGGAACATTTCTGAAGCGTTAGCCAAAAAAAGCCGAGGCTGTGCTAGAAAATATTATTTCCGAGAAGAATCTATAACATATTTAGTAATAAATCTCACATTTGTGACTGTTTATCTAAATTTTGAACGAATGGAAGCCTCAATAATATATTCTAGATTACAATTTTGTACTTAATTTACCTTTGGTTCATTTTTATATGTATGGAGGTTGGGATGATGCTTTTCTAATCAGAAAAAGAAACACTATGTGTTTCATTATACAACTGTTACATTCACTGTTGGTTATTGCTATGTAAACTATCAGCCATGCCAATATGACTATTTGATATCTTCTGACTGGGTTACTTGAAGACATCAAAAGTAATTCTGATAAATATGTCCGGTACTTCTTACACAAGGTTTAGTAATAGCATTTACCTTGTCATGCTGCTGCTCTTCAATTTGTTTTTGAGTATTTTCCAATTCTTGCAACAACGTGTTCTTAAAAACCAAAAAAATAATAATTAGAAACATAAGGGGGCTGAGATAAGATAGTAGAAGGTATACCCATGATAATAAATTATTTATTTTATCATAATTATTAAAACAAGTAATTAATAAGGAGCAATACTCAAGCTAGATTGGGAATAGTGCTAGTAACACTAAGAGGAACAATATCAGAGAAAAAATTACACATAACATACATTGAAGGATGATTCTTCTTAGATTATCATGGACATGGCCAAAGAGTAAAAATCTCTCTCCTCTTCCTGTCTGATCCTAATTCAGTCCCACTGCCATTATTCTACCTAATTATTTGTCAAATTCTTTTAGAGCAGATTAACCATAGTACAAATGGAAAAATTGTAAACATTTCATGAAAACGGACCAGAAATCTTTTTCACAGTGATGTACAGGAATAATATTTGCCAGTTATAATAGAGCTGTAGCAATTATACATCATTTATAATGTATAATTCTTTGTTTATCTTCAGGAATTGCTATAAAATTTCTTGGGGAAAAAACTACAATACATGTTTTCAAATATAATTTGAAAGTGAAGTAACTTTGGGTCTTTAAGTATATTTAGTAGCATCACTGAAGATAACAATAGGAGGGGTGCCAAAATCATTTAAACTTTGCAGTGTCAAATATAAAAAGGAGATATTTTTTCTTAGATGGGCAACAACTGGATTTTCAGTCCAGAAATGACTCCCTGCATTTACAAAGTATCATTTATATTTGGAAGTAATGCAATTAAAATGATATTGTTATTCAGCAAAATCTGGCTTTTTGATAGTGTATATAGACGCACAGAGAAAGACATGATAAGTTTCTCAGAAATTCAAGATGTGAATATGGCTCAATGAAATAAAGGGATTTTTTTAAAAAAATTCAAAAGCCACAATTCTATTCCATATTTATTTCAGCAGCTATTTAAATCATACTTTCATAGTTCATGACAAGAACAAAGAGAAAAATCCCAGAATGAAGGCAAGTCTTGTAAAAACTAAGGTAGTAAAGAATCAACCCTAGCCAACCTATTCCCATTCTCTAATGAGAGGCAGCACTAGTATTTTTTAATATTCCTTTGACATAAATCACTGGATTGAATACAGCTGCTACAATTACTGCAGGTAATCCTCAACTTACAACCACAAATTTTGAGCCCAAAATTTTTGTTGTTCAGTGAGACATTTGTCAAGTGACTTTTACCCCATTTTACAGTCTGTCTTGCCACAATTGTTAAGAATCACTGTGGTTGACAAGTTAGTAACCAGACTGTTAAGTAAATCTGGCTCCCACATTGATTTTGCTGTCAGAAAGTATATTGAATTGCTATGGTGTAAATGATTCCAATACTTAACATACTTAATATATCTTGTGGAAAATGAAGAATAATGGTGATAGTCAAATAAATGAGGTATAATAATAACAATGTATATAAATATTTTTGATTTGATAATATGTGATTATATATGAATTGTAAGTGATGACTATGGAAGGGATGCACAGAAACCTTGTAACCAACCGACACACTGTAATTGACGATGGCTTTATGTTTTTTGTTTTGTTTGTTTATGTTTGTCTAAAAATAAAAACTTTTTTTTTAAAAAAAGAAGGTTGCAAAAGTGATCACATAACCTTGGGACACAGCAACGGTCCTTAAGTATGAACCAGTTGCCAAACATCTGAATTTTGATCGCATGATCATGGAGACGCTGCAAAGATTGTAACTCTGAAAAATGGTCATAATCACATTTTTCAGTGCCGTAACTTGGAACGGTCTCTAAATGAACTGTCATAAGTCACGGATTACCTGTATTCAAAACATCTATGATAAGACCCATCAAATGTCTTAGCTTCTTTTTTTAAGATCGATTTTTGAGGTTATGAACATTCTAGTACCATCTTAGTTATCAGCAAAATTAATTTTCCTATTTGAATATAAAATAGTAAAAAGATCTGCATGATACCTTTTCTTCAAGGGCTGCCATTCTTTCTTTAAGATGAAGCTGAAGTCTCTCATTGGATTCACTCAGCAGCCTGTCCACAGTATCAGAGAGCCTCTTGTTATGTTCCTCGTTCATTTTCTCCCGTTGACGGGCCTGGGGGACATATCAAGATCAGCCAAACATTCCCAAGCAGTTTGCTCTGAGACTGCATTAAAATTAACCTTAATGATTCAAGAAAACAGAAATTGCTATTCACCACAACTAGCCCATTATAATACAAGAAAATATTTACAACAAGGTAAAGGTCATTTTATTAACTGGAAAATGTTAAGAGAGAACTACCCTCTAACTTTCTTTAACTTAACACCAGTTGAGATAACTCTGTAAAAATATTAAATGCACTGAAAATCAGAAGTGAGGTGCTATAAATTGAGCATCTATTTATTCTATCTATTTAGTCTAGGATATAATAATATTCAAAATTTTATCGCCATTAACTGTTGTTGAAATTTTAATTAGCATATCATAGAACAATAGGGTTGGAAGTAACTATGAAGTCTTCTAGGACAGAAATCACAGATCATTCCAGACAAATGGATATCAAACCTTTGTTGGAAAACCTTCGAGTTATGGATGGAGTCACCCATAACTCTAGGCTTGAGGCTGTTCCCCTGCTTAATAGCTCTCAGAGTAGGAAATCAAATTCCTCCTTATTTCAAGTTTGCATACCGTTATATAAAGCGTCTATCTATTGGTTCTTGTTTTACTCTTGAAAATGATGGTGAATAAATCTATAGTATGCCCTCTTCTAATATTCAAGTATTGGAAGATTTATAAAATGCCTCCCTTTTGCCTACTTCTCTAGGCTATATATACCCACTTATTTTACTTACCCTTCATAAGATTTAGCAAGCCTCTCAACATGATTGTGTTTTTCTTTAATGTCTTCCCAGTTCTTCAGTATCCCTCTTGTATTACGGCAATCAAAACTAGATACAGTATTCCGGATGTAGTCTGACTAGGTCATCACAGACCAGAAGTATCATTTCTCATGATCTCAATATTATTGATTCAGGCCAAAACTGCAACGTCTGCTAGCTCATGCTTAATCTGTGATGACAGATTAATCTTAATCTATCCCTAGAGGATAACCAGGTCTTTCTCCTGGGTACTACTACCAATCCAAGTTCAACCTATCTTGTACCTGTGCGTCTGGGTAGTTTGGTCTTAAATGCAGAACTTTATTGCCATTGAACAGCATTTTGCTGGGTAGGGCCCAAAGTTTAAATCTATTGTTTGCTTTGAACCTTTAAGCTATCTTTTGTGTTGTTAGCAGCCCTCCCTAGCTTTGTGTCACCTGCAAATTTGACAAGTATTGCCTCTATCTCTTTTTCTAAATTATTTATAAAAATGTTCTTCCTTTCTAAGTACTTACAAACTCACTGCTTGGTTATCTTTTTTTTTTTTAGCATTTTCCCAGGTACAAATGACAAATCAAGTGGTCCATTTTCCTCTTTCTTTAAAACAAGGAACCAATGTTAACTCTACTCCAGTCTTCTGACCTGTATTCTATATGAAGGGCCACAACATGACATCTCAAGAAGGAAGACAGATCACTTTGATCAGAGGCAGAAACAGGGAAAGTGGAATGTAGAAAAAGGGTTCAGACAGAAAAGTCATCATAGATGGGGCCATCTAATATTATAACATTAAATTAATTAAATTAAATCAGGAAGTGAAGCTAATTATTTAGATAACTATACCTAACACAACTAGGTATCTCTAGTTAAGGTGATTTCTTCTATTGCTTCAGTGCCACAGATTTAACTACATTGTAACAACCTATCACATAATCATAGTGTGGCGAAGATGTAAAACATCCATGTGGGATCCCAAAGGTGTTTTTTCAAGAGGCAACTGGACTTTCTGGTTCTTCTTTGAAGCTGTCTGCAAGAAGTATAAATCCTTCCACTCCCCACCATTCAGTCAGAGCTGAAGAAGCTTCTTGGATGAGAAGCGAAACGTCTTCAAAGAAAAACCAGAAAGTCCAGTTGCCTCTTGAAAAAGCACCTTTGGGATAACCATGACCTGGATGACTGAGAATCTCCACAAACAACCATGTGGGATATTCTTTCTCACAACAAGCTATCCATCTGATGCCACATTTGTATTAAAAAAAAAACCACACACACATTAATATCAGAGGTGAAATTCAGCAAGTTCTGACAGGTTCTGGTGAACCAGTCGCGGAAATTTTGAATAGTTCGGAGAACTGGCAAATACTACTTCTGGATGACCCGAGAGTTGGATGGGAATGGAGATTTTGCAATATCCTTCCCCCAGGAGTGGGGAGGGAATGAGGATTTTGCAATATCCTTCCCCAGCCACACCCACCATTCACGCCCACAGAATCGGTAGTAAAAAAAATTGCATTTACCATTTTCAATTTGACAATACTCTGACCTGAAATAAAATAAAGCTACATATCTCTGGAGAAAAGAACTTACCCTTCCCAATTCTTGGTTCTTCTCCTCCAACTGAGTTTCCAGTTGCCGCAGTCGTTCTTCGATACTGCCATGCCTTTCCTCAGCCTATATAGAAAAATAAATTCTCTAAAATGGTGGTTCTCAACCCCTTCAAGCAATGAATCTGAATCTGAACCTGAATCCCACCAAAATAAAAACAAAGCACTGGCTTTTTAAAGAATATTTCTATAATATATGTCTTCTGCTATTGACTATTGTAAGTATTAACTAAATGAAAAACTGTTCTTAACAATAATCTGTACAATTATAATTGTAAAACAAACAGATAATAAATGTTTTCATATTAGCCTGAGGTTATATTTTACTGACTGGCATCTCAGTATAAAAAAAAAACCTAATTTTGATTTTCATTGTAGTAATACATTGTGATCATATTCTGAGACTCTCTTTATTTTACTCCAGTGTTAGAAGAAATCTTGATTTTCTTCTGAGATATTCAACCAATCAGAATGAAGTTTCTGTTTCAGTCTAGATATAATGTCTACACAACCCTAATCTACTTCTTCACTCATGACTCAAAAGATCAATCTTTCTCCAATAAGCAGCATTTTTTTAGCTCATTTCATTGGTGGTGGCATCTAGAAGCTGGGAAAGCCATAATGCTAAATCTTGGGGACTGATTGCTTGCCCTTCGATCAGTATCTCTCATCTTCTCCCATGCATTGATTTGAAAACAGGTAGTTCTCAATATACGACCACAATTGAGCCTAAAATTTCTGTTGCTAAACAAAACAATTGCTAAGTTAATTTTGTTCCATTTTATTACCTTTTCTGCTACAGTTGTTAAGTGAATCACTGTAGTGCTATGTTAGTAACATGGTTGTTAAGTGAATCTGGCTCCCTCATTGATTTTGCTTGTCAGAAGATTGCAAAAGTTTTAAACATGACCTTGAGACACTGCAACTGTCATAAATATGAGTCAGTTGCCAAGCATCTGAATTTTGATCACACGACCTTGGGCAGGTTGCAGAAATTGTAAGTGTGAAAAATGGTCATAAGTCACTTTTTGCAGTGCCTTTGTAACTTCAAACAGTCTCTAAATTAACTGTTGTAAGTCGAGGACTACCTGTAAATTACTCCTATCCTATCCAGGGGCTACCTGCCTATAATCAATGGTACCAACATTATCAATTACTAAACACTGCTCCAAAGAATTAACAAATCAGCTGTAGAAATGTAGGTTCGGAAAAATTGAGAAGATTTGTTCTTATATAAGATTACACTTATATGCCATATAGGTATAACTAAGCATCTGTGATATAACCAATGTGGATTTGCTTTTGTAAAATATTTGGAAAGGCAGCAAATGATTCTCTGAAAAAATTCTAGAAATAGACCCTCTCAACCTCAGGACACAGACATGAGTTCCTTGTTGAATTCATTATTCTATGGTTGAGGAAGCTATTTGAAACTCACAGCACATATTTCCTGGATAGTTCTGGTTTACATCAAGCCTTGTAAGTCTATATTTCGTTCAAGAAGTATACAAAATGCTCCCATCTGATTCCTTAAACGCATCCATATGCAAATAACAGACTTTATAGCAATACCACAAGCTTGGTAAATGGATCTTAATCCCAAAACTAAAATAAGCACACATAATGTCTGACAATTTAATGGGATAAATGTGCTTTAAAGCATCCTTGGACAGCAGTTATTGCCCTCCAATTCTCTGTGCATTAAACAGTAAAGCCTAGTATAATCCATTGAAAAGTTCAGCACAACCAATCTTACCTAAATACCAGCGTAGGAGGCAGTGATGCATAAACTGGATTTCTCAATCAGTTCCAAAACTCAAAATAACTCAAAATCAGTGCTTCAGCTATTCAGAGCCTTAGCTTTTTGGACAGCATCAACTATTCAAATCATATTAGAGCTTAACTGTACATCATTAGTAGCTACCTCTTAGGATAATTATAGCCCTAGAGAATGTTATGCTGGTCCAATTGTTAATGCTGAACTTTTCATTTATTTTTAGTCAGTTTTTAGAAGACTTAATGAGTAGTCCTTGCCTTTTTCTAACTTGCTTTCCATCCCGAGAAAGTCATATGGCCTAGAACAGGTGCCAAGCCATCTAGTAACCTAGGTGTTATTGAAAGCTCATTACAGTCCTGTCTACTTGCCTTGGTAAGAGCTGCTATTCTTTGTGCTAGCTCAGCTTCCACCTCAGGCAGAGTCTCCGCTTTCCTTATTGTCTGCTGCAGTTTCTGCTCCGCCAGCTCCAGAAGCTCCTGAAGATGCCTTGCCTTCTCTTCACACTGTGGAATGATGCAGAATGGCAGTAATGTATACCAGGAGCCAGAAATGCTAAGGATAGTTCCAAACTATGCCAGAGCTCTGTATTTTAATGCATATATTCCAACGAGAAACAAAGGAAAAGCTTGAATGCCAGTTTTCATTACACATGCTTTTGAGTCTCATTTTTAAAAAGCTACATATCAACATTTGCTGCTATAGGATTGTGGAATATTTGCATGATGTTCATTAGATCATGTTTTAAACCTGTACAAAATGTTCTGTATTGAAACACACTGGCTCCAAAACATCCTGTCTCTATTCTAACTGTGTAAGACAATTATTTAAAATTTAAAATAGGCTGTTTTGAGCACTTTACATGATTCAACCTGAAACAGTGTGTTTTATATATGAAAGAGAAGTGTTCTCTGCTTAAAACATTTTCAAAAGGCTCAAAATGAAATGTTTTGACTCAGAATGCTTCAAAATCAAAACGTTTTGCACACCCCCTTCTAATTTTATATATTATAAAGTTCCTTCATAAATATTTTATTGGATTTATTTGTCACTTGGATAGTTTACTGTTGTGGCCCAGCAGGATCCGCTGATGCACTCGGATAATGAAGAACCATATGAATCTGCCCTGGACGATGTGGAGGACTCTGGGCAGGGTTCAGACTCAGAGCAGGGACCAGAGAGGCTGGTTGGCCACCAGGAGGCGCCTGAGGCATGGAGCAGTGGGGAGGATCAAAGGCAGTTTGTCCCTGATGCTAGATTGAGAAGGGCTGAGAAACGGAAGCAGCAACTCCGTAGGCAGACTCACAGAAGATGATTAAGCACAGGTGGTTGTTGATTGGCCCCTCCCAAGAGAGACTAAAGGTGAGGCGTTGGGAGGGGACATTTGCAGGAAACAACCATTCGAATTAGTAGTTAAGAAAATCTATCTGTGTATTCTAGCCATGTCTGTTCATTTGGACTATCTGCGTTGCTGCGTTTGAACTATCTGGGTTGTTGCAGAGCTACTCTATTGAACGTGAGTTGTCTGGGCCCTCAGCCAAAGAATTGGCTGGGGAGTCAGAACAGTTTACATAATGAAAACAAATAAATAAATAAAATGTTAAGCACAGCGGCAAATCCATATAAACATTTTAAGATTACAGTCTTATATGTTTAACATTCTGAATATTTAACCACTAAGGTAAATGGATTTGAGGCCTATACAAAACCAAGTTTAATATCAGGTATTGCTTGGAATCAGGGATTGGATTCAGCCAGATAGGACCAGTTTGGGCGAACTGGTAGTTCCGGCGATCAGTTGGCCCCACCATTCGCCCCTGTGCTACTCTGTCGTATATTTCCTTTGTTTGAAGCCCAGCTGATAGGCACGGCAGAGCGGATTGCCACATCTCAGCTGTTTTACTCACTGGGGCTATACTAGAAGGTAAGTTTTAGAGTTGTTTTTAAATGCACTGCCGTGCAAAGCGCATGCTCTGCAAACCGGTTGTTACACTGATTGAATCCCACCACTACATGGAACCTGTACATAAAGATTGCATTCTCCCACATGAATCGACATAATAGGCCATTGTCTAAATGTTCCATAATCAAAAAATAAAACTTTTCAATTGCGATGCCCCATTTGTGAAAAGGTTGCATGGTACCTAAGTTAATAGCCAAGGAATCGTTGGCAAAGACAAGACTTTAAATATTTTTTACTCAAACAAAGTTGTCTGTAAATTTTAACTGTCTACATTTAAACATTATTTAAACATTCTATAGTTTTATTACAGATTTATAGCCAAGCAGCCCAATTTTTCTTTGAAAGCAAAGTAGTAGTGCTCCCGGGAAAAAATCATCTCAACAAGAAGAATATCTAGGAGAAAGTTCTGCTAAGGAGGCAAAATGGGCCTTCAAAAATAGAGCGCATCATCCATGAAGCTCTCTATCAGATTGATACTGGCATTCCACTTGCCATGACATTAAACCCCATTACCTGGCGATGGAGAGACTCTTTATTGGCAAGCTCATTCTCCAACTTGTCATTAAGGTCATGAATGGAAGTGGCTTCTCTCTGGGCTGCTAGGTAGCGTTTCTCGAGGGTGGTTATCCTCTCCTCCATGTCTTCTTTTTGTGCCAAAGCCTGGGAAAGGAAATATTAAACAGGCAGGTTTACTTCTACAGTAGAGTCTACCACAATCTAATTCCATTGTAAATCAGATTCAGTCTGTATCCATTTTTCCACTCTTTTAGTTGGAAGTGGGGCAACAAGTGCTGAAAAACTCCATCACAGTTAAATCCTCTGATACCTGGCAGCAAATTATATTCTACGCATCATTTGCAGCTGTAGAAGTATCTGTCCAGTATTGATGGGTGCCTTTCATTATCTGTCAAAGATATTATCACAGGAGTTTCAAGAAGCAAAGGGAGATTAACAAGGAAGAGAGGCTGGTAGGAAATAAAATGTAACCTGAATTTTCAAGAACTTGCACTAAATATATAAAGAACCTGCTAAGCTTTTTCAAGCATTTTAACAGAATATTCTAAACTAGATTACCTTTCTGGAAGGGTTTAGAATAATTTTATAATTTATTACTGCATAACTAAACCCATTTCTTCAGTTACTTCAATAAACTCTGGATTTAGTCTAGCGAGAAAAACTAAATTATTTTAAATTGATTTAGAAGAGGGGTTTTTTTATATGCCATCATTTTCACAACTGGAAGTTAGCATTCTGACCTCTCGTAGATCTCTCTGGTACTTGTTGCTCATTTCTTCAGATTTGATGAGGTCCCTCCTGGCTGTGCTTAGATCTTCTTCAAGCTCAGCAACACTGGCAGCCAGACCGGATAACCGTTCTTTAGTTTGTGCTAGTTCAAAGTTTTGTTTCTCTAGAAGCTCCTGCAATTCCACAATCTGACTTGCCCCATCATCTGGGTGTATGGAGCCATTAGGGAGTCTCTGTCAAGTAATATAGAAAAATATCCCAACGTTTCATATCAATAGAGAATAGATAAATTAGAATACTTGTCATTAGAACAATTGTCATTGCATGTTTCTAAAATCTATCAACAAGCGCTAAGGCAGCGTTTCCCAAAGTGTGGTACGGGAAGAGTTTGGTGGGGGTACGCGTTGCACCGGAGTTTGGTGGGGATCACGTGGGAATATCCACTGCACCGTACTTTGCTGCACCCACAGAACCAAATTATGATGATCTGTCATCTCAACATAAACAATTTCATCCTTCTCATTGAATCAAATAAATGTTCTTTATAATATAACTTTCGTTTATTTTGCGTATGTACCAAAAAAATAAAAAATAAATATATTTTGATTTTTATTAAAGCATATGTTTTTATGAGGGGTACTCAGCGTTACGAAAATTATAGAAGGGGTACACATATGTCAAAAGTTTGGGAAACACTGCGCTAAGGTATCAGTCATTCTTTTTATTTGCAAACCACATCATAAGGTGGGTTTTTTCTTCCATTCAATTGTGTCAGAGGCTGCTTGGACAAGTTCCTGCAGTTTTCTTGGCAAAGATTTCAAGGTTTGCCATTGCCTACTTCCTAGGGCTGCGAGAAAGTGACAAGCCCATTAGGTCACCCAGATGGTTTTGTGCCTAAGATAAAACTAGAACTCACAGTTTCCTGGTTTCTAGATTGATTCCTTACCCACTACACCAAACTTACTGTATAGCTCTACACAATGTACCTTTTGAAAATAAGATGTCTTAAATCAGATGAACTCTTAGAACAATTGGGAAACTGTTCAATCAGCCTATTTCAAAATTTTACAAACACAGCAAAAAAAAAAAAAACACCACAAAATTTGCCTACAGGCTAAAGAGTCCCATGGAACATGATTGTCTGACTCACAATTGCAGACATACAGTATTTCAATTGTATCTTAGCTATTATCCAATTCCCTGAAAGTTGCCTCTTACCTTCCAAAGCATTTTTTGCCCAGATTCTTTGCCATCAGTCCTTTTTTCATCTTCCCCTACAGGTGCTTCCCTTTGGGAAGATCCTTGCTGAAGAGCATTTACCTGGAAAATACATATTCAGTAGAACTTGCAGTTCTCATAAACATGAAAACAATGCAAAGCAGATCTATAGAACAAGAACAAGGGACTTGGGACACTTCTGACAGTTAAACCGATATTTTAAAAGGTTTCAAAAGAGGTGGCGCACCTACTTTTTACTTACGACAAATTATTGGAAAGAAAACTCCACATCCAATAAGTTATTTTGTGCAGTTTAAACTTCATGACATAATAAAAGCATGCATGTATTTAACTAATCTTACTCGTTACATTGCTGTTATCTAATTCTGTCATTTTCTTTTTTTTCCCTTCCCTTCCTTGGATATGACATTGTCCAGATATTATTTATTTTATTTGCATCCCATCTTTATTATTATTACAAATAACTCAAGGTGGCAAACTTATCAAGCACATCTTCCTCCTCCTATTTTCCCCACAACAACAATCTTGTGAGGTAGCTGGCTTTCATGACTAAGGAGGGACTTCAACTCATGGTCTCCTGCTTTCTAGCCTAGTGCTTTAAACACTAGACCAAACTGCCCAACTCTTACAATAAAGACAGATCATTCTGCATTTTTACATTGGGCTTTGTTGCTCTATGTGCTTGTGGTAAACAGAACTGACAGATTACTTGAGAAACAGTCCTACGAAATCTGGGATAGAAAATGAAATGCATATTTACTTGCTGGTGGGCACTGGATAGTTGTTCTTCTAGTGTTGCTACTCGTTCCAGTGCTGCTCTTAGGCGTTCTCTTACCTGAAAATGTCAAGAAACTGAATTGTTATTTAAAAGGGAAACTGATGATTACAGAGGTTTCTTGGAATTTATTGGACTAAGGTGCCAGATTTAAGAACACCTAGCATTTGAAACACCATTTCATAATGCAAATAACTTAATGAGATCATTCTCCTCTCAAATTATTTGCTAGAAGGGCGCAGAACTGCCAACAATAGGAACCTGGATCTCATTCAAATAACAGAATGCTCTTGTGGGAGACTATGATCTTTCATATAGTGACTTGGTCTGCATGTGGAAAGAGTATTGTCTGTAAGCATAAACAGAAGATGATTTCAGAAAGTTGTCTAAATTAATATTTTTCAGCAACTTTAACATGTTTGAACCAACTCCCACAATCATCTAGTCAGCATTCTGTGAATTGAAATACTGTGTTGAATTAGAGTGGAAGTGGACTGTGCTGGAATATCCCATTAGAAGAGCACTTGTACAAATTCAGTTTTGATAGTAGCTTCCTGGAATGTAAAGCAATAATATTTGAGAATTTTTTTCAAAGGGCAAAACCTTTTAATATGAAAATCATTTAGTGGAAGGATCAAAAGATGCATGAGAGTTCTAAGGAAGTGCTGAGCCAAAGCAGTACTAGACATCACCACAGCTTTGTTATTAAAAAGGTTATGAGTTAAAAACAGATGGATTTATTAAAGCTAAACTTTCTCCAATAAAATTAACCACTATGTAACCTTCTCATCCAATGCTTTGTGATGTTCAAATAAAGACTTCAGGGCCTTCAGAACTTCAACCTCACTGGAGACACCTGATGGAGACTGAGCTTGCCGCTTTACTACTGTCATCCTCAAAGAGCGTTCATGCCTTGAGACCAGGCACTCCAAGTGCTCCAACAAAAGCTGAAAATAAAAACAGCAGCTCCAGTTATTCTGTAAGTCACCCTCAGCAACATAAAGCCTTCAATCCTTGATCCTTGAATAATTACCAGGTTTAACTGCAAGGGCATTTTCTGCACCAGAAGTATAGATATCAGACTAAGGCTGAAATCTTAAAAGCTAATAGATAAGATTTCACATATAAAAATAAATTAATAAACATACATGCAGTGAGAGATTGTTCACAGGAAAGGTAGCAGAGGAAGAAATAGGTAAGCTTTTTTAAACTGTCCTTGGATTGACTCAGAAATTATCCCCTTTTTAAACAAAATGTGTTATAAGACGATTTGTTCCATTGAGGTCCCTGGAATGGGGGTTGTAATGCTCTAAGATGGTTACAATCTACCGGGAACAGGTGTTTTTTTTTTTAAGTTAATCATGTTTGTGCAGGCAATGTGGGAGTAGTGTTAAAATTCACTCATACTTAGTCTTGGCAAGCTTATTTTGGTCTTGTGCAGCCAAAACTGAGACAAAAGCCCAGTCTGAGTTTTGAGAGACAGCTAAACCCCTGAGTGTAGCTATCTGTCAAAACCATTTGCCAATCGTAACAGCACTGTGTCTGGCAGATGGTTTCTTGCTAGTGTGGCATGTAGTAATGCATCCAAACTTTGAAGCATCTCTAAGTATAGAATTAGTGAAGTTTAATACTTCTATTTCTCATTTTCAATTTCTAGCATTTCAAATGGAAAATGTATCAACATGCAATTGAGAAAGCTAACCATCTTCCAGTAATGCTGAAAACAGTAAACCTAAGCAAAGAAAGTATAGTGAAAGTTATGTATCTTTTGCCCAAGTTTATCTCTCAAAAGAATCATTAGCTACATTCATAAGGTAATCATATAAGTTAGCAATTTATCTTAACAGAACTTGGCTTTTCTTTAGAGACTGTCTTTTTTTCTGTTCAATTGTGTCCAATTCTCAGAGATTCTCTGCAGTTTTCTTTCCAAAGTTTTTCAGAAATGGTTTGCCATTATCTTTTTCCCAGGGCTGAGAGAGAGTAACCACCCAAAGGTCACCCAGGTGTGGAACTAGAATTCACGGTCTCCTGGTTTCTAGCCTGTTCCCTTAATCATGGCACCAAACTAATTCTCTGAGAGGTTGCCTTTAACAAGTCCCTAATGTTCTTTGCAGTGGTTTACAAATACTTGAAGGACTGTCATGGGACAGAAGGGGTGAATTTATTCTCCATAACTAGATATGGTCCTAAACTGTCTCTGCAGGTATGAAAACCAAGCTGCGCTCTAAGAAATATTTTTAAAAGGCCAACATTCTATAGAAATTACACTGAATTTAACAGAGATTATCTTAAACCCTGTCATAACCAAAAGAACAAGAGAACAGTAACATCAAATATTACTGAAGATGGCAAATTCTACAAAAAGCTTTCAATCCTCTTAAAACTTAGGGCTGGGGAAAACTGCAAATTTTCTGTATTATTGTCTATTAGATAACCTTAGCAAAAGGCAGACCAAGCTGCACCTCAATTAAACTAGGTAGTTAATTCTAGATTCATAAAGGAAACCATATGATTTCTTTCCTTTTAGCCTAGAATGATGCACAAATCAGGCCACTGTGGCATATTCCACAAGTTATGATTAAAGCATGGCTGAATGTTATCTGCAAATATAAATGTTGCTTTTGGATTAAGCTACCAACAGAACTGTGTCCAGCATGAAACTCATTTATTACTCACCCGCGTATTATTGCGTTCTGCTTTCAGCTCAGAGATTTCCTCTTCCCTTTCCAACAGCTGTTCTCGACATGCATTGAGTTCCCTGGTCAATGTTGCAAATTCCTGCAAGACAATCATAAGCTCCACAATTGAGTTAGGTTTCTATAGATTTTGCCTAAATAAAAGTAATGCCATAAAAAGGGGAATTGCATCCCTATCCTTCTCCCACCCCCTATCCTACCGAAAAAGATCACAAAATATTTCAATTAACCAAACTGGGTTTATGTTACCCATCTGATTATGAATTATAAAATCAGTTAAATGAAATTCATAGTTGTTCTTCAACAAACAAAAAGCAGGTCTTTTTTTATTTTGACACTTATCAGCAGGTTTTTATACTTTACAAGGCAACAAAATAACAGAGTTGGAAGGGACCTTGGAGGTCTTCTAATCCACCCCCCTGCTTAGGCAGGAAACTACACCACTTCAGACAAATGGCTATCTAATCTCTTCTTTAAAACTTCCAGTGTTGGAGCATTTACAACTTCTGGAGGCAACTCATTAATTGTTATAATTGTCAGGAAATTTCTCCTAAGTTCTAAGTTGCTTCCCTCCTTGATTAGTTTCCACCCATTGCTTCTTGTTCTACCCTCAGGTGCCTTGGAGAATAGTTTGACTCCCTCTTCTTTGTGGCAACCCCTGAGATATTGGAACACTGCTATCATGTTATCCTTAATCTTTCTTTTCACAAAACTGGACATATCTAGTTCCAGCAACTGTTCTTTATGTTTTATCCTCGAGTCACCTAATCATCTTTGTTGCTCTTCTCTGCAATCTTTCTAGAGTCAAGTGTTCCAAAGTTACATTTATTTCTTTGGTGTAATCTGAAATGGCAGTAAGATTCCACTATCACCGGTACCTCTCCCCTTAGTTTCTTTCCTATGTGAATTAAAGAAAATAAGAAACAGCAAGTAAAGTGTTTCAGTCTGTTCATATAAGACAGTTACTAGTAAGTGCACTTTTTGGTATAATAAAATATATTGAGCCTTATATGCCAGTTCAAATTGCCATCTAAAGTTTTGTAGGAGAACAAAACATAGTTTTGCTTGTTTGTTTTCCCACCAAACAAGATTTGGATCAGCTTTCTGAGTTTTGTGCATGGCTCACACTGGGGCCTCCTTTAATTTTATTCACACAATAAACTCAAGAGGTATTTTGGGCTAAGAATGGCTGCCTAACATTATTCAATGGGTTTTGAGCATCAAACTGGGCAGGTAAGACCTCAAGATGACTATAATCATTATTCTACATGGATTCTGTAAAGTTAGAATGGTGTAAGTATTTTTTCAGTGTCAAAGGGCCATATCACCTGAAAAAGAGGGAGCAGCCCTGGTGTGAAAGATTGTACTTACAGGCCTGATGTGATAGAAGGTGATTCCACCCACATGCACAGAGACATGGTTGACTGGTATTCCTGGCTCCCATGTAGGATATCCAGATCTCCCACCCTCAACTGTCCTGCACCCTCCTACAATTTCTGGGCAAGAATCTATTCAGAAAGTCCTTCTCTGCACTGACTTATTTGGAGAGGGCAGAAGTAGCAAACTGCTTTCTTTCCTTCATTCTTGCTTAGCCAAGCAGCCAGACCAATGATAAAAGTTAAATTCGCTATCAGAACAATTCAATAAGAAATGTAACCCTTTCTAATGAGTAGCAAAATTAAGGTACTTAATGGAAGATAAAGCCAGAAAGAGAAGGGGAAATAGGAGAAAATAACAATTGAGTCTGTAGGATTTTTCTCAGTAACTGCTCCTCTAGACAAGAAATGCCTATACAGAATACATAAAACAAGGTACAGCTGAGATCACTTCCCATTGAACAAATTAAGGTTATAATTTGCATCAAGCTTTTACTAGTTCTTAGACTGATATTACACTCCCAATATCCAGCTTCTGTGGAACTGAAGTGCTGCTTTTCTAGTTGTGAGCCAGCTGGGAGAGATACTTTGTCTTCCCATGAGAGGAAATCACAAAACCAAGACAAAATTGATTTTGCCATCACCATGCACACTCTGAAGGAAATCTTTTCACTACTGGTTGCTTTTTAACTCTAGACTGATAGGTTAGATGTTGGTTTTTCTCTTATGTTTAAACCCATTGGGATGAGATTTTCTTTCACACTAGCATTCCATGGTGGCCTCCCATTCAAATAGCAATAGCACGCACACACACGCGTGCGCGCACACACACACACAAAGTCAGCATATTGTCTCCAACAATCTGGGTCCTCATTTTACCGGCCTCAGAAGGATGGAAGGCTGAGTCAACCTTGAACCAGTGAGAATCGAACTGCTGGCAGTCAGCAGAATAAGCCTGCAATATTGAATTCTAACCACCACCCTGCCATGGCTTTGTCAAAAATAAACTCTAAATCAGTTCACAAATTTTAGCTTACAATTCATCTATACATTCTATATCACTCCTGTCTGAGTACTCTGCATATCATATTTTTCTCCCTTGGAGCACAACATAAGAAAGTCTAGCACTGGTTAGAAACTCTAACACTGGTCAGTTTCTAAACCAAGACAAGATCAAACAGGTGCTGTCACCTGCCAAAGTGAAAGAACTAAACCACAGTTCATAATTTATCCTTTGCCATTGAACATTGGTGGCATTGTCCTGAGGGAGAAGCGAGGGAATCAACAAAAAGGGAATGATTGTGGCTGCCTTTTCTGACATACAATATTGTCTCTGACAGTGCAAAGCTACAGCTTCCCTTCAATGAATCTTTCACTGCCATGAGACACTATATATTTCCAAGAAAACTTTGGTAACTAGTTTTTTTGCCTTTTCATTAGAATGGTATTGCCATGTATTTATCAATTAGAGAACCTGCTGTGATGATGACTCTGTTAGAAATGCAAAACATTCCTGGTGATAGGGAGAAAGAAGCAAGCTGGAAAAAAAAATAGCCATCTCTCAAATGTCCCTTCTATAATTTCAGAGGACTTTAAAAAGTAAATGGCAATTGGAGAAATTTCTACAGACAGATTACCTCAAGGAGGGCAGAAATAAACGAAGCGTGTGTGTGCAAAACAGGGAAATACAATAGGAACTATTTTGGGAGATACTTGATTCTCTTTGGGAAGGTAATAATAAATAGTATTTTCATAATATAGAGCATATGAAATAGCTCAGAGTGCTCTTAATGTACTATCTTTCCCAAATATTAGAATGCAGACAAGAGAACAGCATTCAGATAATCAGCTTGAATTTTCTCTGGCTTGATATTTTGGTAAAATAAATGTAGTGTAGCATAAGAGATGAGAAGGGAGAAATCCTCCTGTGTGTGTCTTTCACTGAGACAAAATCCAAGTACCAGTACATGTATACTACAAGTAGTACTTGATAAGAAAAATTAGGAAAGTTAATGCAAAAGATAATTGTCTGATTTATTATGCTGTAATGTAAGTAATAGCAGATTAATTTGCAAGATAATCTTTGAACCAGGGATCCTTACTTACATATTGTAATGTGAATATGCCTGGGATGGAACTGCATTTCATTTGTGCTTGAGGCACAGTAACTAATATGTGCCCCGTTGATAGGTGTTCTGTCCTTACTGTTAAAAGGGAATGTTGCAGGTGACATGGTTATAACTAAGACTGGTAACCTACTTCTTGATGAGCGATGGAGGTCAACATTCATGAGCTCATCAGTTAATGAAGATGGTTTATGGAAGATTGCAACTTGGACTTTAACAGAAGTAAATTATAAAGCAGAGAAATTAATGAATGAAATGAATGAAAGAATACACACACACACACACACACACACACACATACATATATATATATATATATATATATATATATATATATATATATATA